ACCTTTACATTTTTTTTTTCCAGACAGGTAGGTATAGACCATTCCTCCAAGCATGTTCTTTGACAGAATTGTGCATTTTTAATGTTGTCTTTTAGGCAATATTAAAAGGGCTCCCTACCAAATGTTTTTTTGTTTTTTTGCATTGTTACATGTTCCTCATGGCAGTACCCTGCTACCGACGATCTTTCTTCGATATGGGTGGGGAGTCCCCTTTAAGCACCAATATAATTAAAAAAAAAAAAGCTTCTCCCCGCAAAACCTTCTTTTTTTTTTTTACATTTTTTTGCATTGTAATGTGTCCTCCAAGGCAGCGCCCAGCTACCCATGCCCTTTTTTACCAAAAGCTTGCAAATTGTCCCTGAAAATGGCCAGAATAGATCTTAAAGATTCAGCTCCCATTGACTTTAGTGTGGTAATGTTCAGAACGGTGACCTGCCCCGGGCCCAACCCACGTACGTTCAGCTCATACCTTGTGACAATAGGAGTAGAATTTTTGCTGCCATTTTATACTGGCCACTTCTTAATGGCATACCAGCCAGTTACAATGTGTGCTATCCATCATTCATAAAATATAGACATGTGCATATTTTTAAAAATCAGCCAGCACATTCCGTGTTAGATATATTTATCTAACATTTATCAGGTATGTATTGCTTTATTTGTAATGGAGCAAATGTAATGTTTGAAGTACTGCATCTATTAAAGCAGCTAAAGTGACAACCGGAGCTCTCCATAGTGCTGAAACTGTGTTTCAGATCTATGTGATTTCAACTGCAGAGAACAGGAAGAGACCTATCAGGGGACATTAAACATTACTGGATACACTTAAATTTAAAACATTAAAATGGTGAATTGCATTTTTTTTAACAGAAAGAAGAGAATGCATATGCCACTCACCCATGAAAAGTAATTTAATTGAAATGTGATTCTTATTTTTGTTGGATAGAGCATAGTAGAACTGAAGCTGCACCCCTTTTATTTAGTGATTTGTTGGGCACAGATGGATGACACACATATGTTGGGCAAGGGTAGAACTGGCTTACTAATTTAAAGCCAATTTAACCATTTTCCCTCATAGATTAAATCCCTCTAACACAAATTTTATTAAAAAGGCTATTTTCAGTATTTTCCTTGCACTTGCCTGCCACCTGATATTTTCAGGTTATTGGGTGTGATCCCCACATGTTTAAGTGTTTATGTCTGTACTAGTGCTGAGACTCCTGAAAATGATATTAAACTGCCCTTTACTGTTGTGCAAAGCTAACACATTACAGATTGTGTACAGGAGGACTGAGATTATGTATCTGCCTCAGGCAGCACAGTGCTGGCTGCGTCTTACCAGACATTCATGAAATATTAATCTCCTGTTTCTACACCACTTCTAAATTATCTCACCTTGTTTAACCACACTGGTTCATGAGATGCTGTAAGATCGGCAACAGAATTTTAGACCACAAAATACCAAAACCTCAATTGCTGTAAGTTTTAAAAAAATATTGTGATGTCATGATATGCAAGGATGGGTGAAAGTCAGCTAGTTCAGATCTGTGACATGACTTTTATAAAAACTCCTGGCTAGATTCCTTGCAAGTAATCCCCCACAGAACTCTTCCACTTATATTCAACTATATAATATTGATTGTACTTTGTTTTACCAGTCCAACAACACCAATCCTGATTACAAATAGCTTCAGGAACTCCGGGTATAAACTCCACTCTATAATACTTCAAAAGAACAACAAAGGGTCGCATCTCCGGTTCAATACTCAGTATAAAACTTTATTTGATCAATAGTAGTCCATGTTGCAGTCCCTGCCTAATCATCACCCCTATAACGCGTACCTATAAAGGCTTATTTTTATTGATGACCCATGCAGAGACTGCAGCAGGAAGATGCATGCAGATGGGTAATGAGTCTCCATTGCAGAGGGGCAAATCCAAGAATTCTACTGGAGATGTTGAGTCCACTGCCCATAACCAGAACATCAGTCTTAATGAAGTGGAATGTTTTAAAATAATAGATTATTGCCAAAATGTGATATTTAACATTGTTTTATTCCCCAGGGCGGTTGCGGATCAGCGTGGCTACCGTGCTGATCTCGCAAGGGAGGTTTGGGGAGTTTTTCATTGTGTTTTAGCACTGAAACGCAATAAAAAATGCCCAAAACCGTGCTGATCAGCGCGGTTCCATTGAAACCTGTATGGAAACCGCACTGATCAGCGCAGGGAGCAGTTTAAGCGGGAGGCGGTTCAGATCGCGCGGATGGTCCCCATAGCAATCTATGGGATCGTTCATGTCGGCTAATCCCTGTGGCCGAACTGCCCTGGTGTAAACGGGGCCTTATTGAGTTGTGAAACTGAAATTCTGTAACTGTTCTATGTGTCTTAGCAGATTGTTGGTTGAATTCACTTTTAAAAAGCTTTCTGCTTTGGACACAAGAAGGTAGAATATGCTTGTTCCTCACTAGTACATGCAGGAAAAAAAACTAGAAGTGAAATGGGGAAATTAAGGAGCCAGAAGATAGGAAAAGGAGGTGAAGTGCTAATTTGGCTGTGCTGCTTGCTTATGCTAATAATATTGTACCTACGGATGTTATGTAAATTGTAAGATAGTATTAATATATAATAATATTTTCAGCATGTTCTTAATCCATATGGTACTACAATGTATCTTTCAACCTCTAGATGTCACTGTTGGGAAGGCAAGGTCTTGGTTAAGCTATAAATGACCCCCACCTAACAATTACATGACATTATTTACATAATTTCAAGTAGTAAATGTACCTGTAAATATTCAAAACATATACCAAATGTTTCTACAACCTAATCTACACTGTGTATCTTATGATTATATGTAAGCCTCCTGTGTAGTCAGTATACCCAGTTTATATTTTGAATTAGGATTATGCATTTGTTTTATAGCACAAAAGGTGTCAACTATATTTGTTTACTTTTTGAGTGTGAATATTGCATCATCTAATTGCAGATTAATTAGGCTTATTCATTACAACAGTACAAATAGCAGCCATAGAGTCCAGTAAGCTATGGCAGCCAATCAGATTTTAGTTTAGTAATGTACCATCAGTGAAGTATGTTTATTTGCTACAGGTTGCGCATACAAGGGCCTACTGCACACATGTTAGAACCTGAAGTGATAGGTAATCTTCCTACCAGTGACCCAGGCAACAATAAAAGCACATTTGCTAGCTTAGTGAGGAAGGTTTACAACCTTTTGTCAGGATTTTATTGCCAGCTGCATCACCATTAAGAACATTTTCCCTGGCGTCCTGTGCTGGTGACAGGTGTCAGCCAAAACTGGAAATGAGAAGTAATCTTTCTAATGTAAACATAGACTGCATTTAATACCTGACAGCACAAATCTCACAGAGTACACAACATCTAAATCTGACAGAGTTTCTAACCCTTTCCAAATTCTTTCCACATGTCAGCAAATGGCAAGTAAATTCAACCGATGGTTGAGAGAGGGTTCCTGGGTTGTTACAGTACTCCCTGAATCTCAGGCAACATGAAGCTATGTCTCTTTGCAGGCTCTTGATTAGTGGACTGTATAGCCCAACCGGGGATCAGTATATAAAGCAAGGCAGTATGCTGGTTCTATTAGAACCTTTTGATTTTAATGTTTCTGATAATAATCCCACTGCATCGTTGGTGACAAAATGAATGGAACCTGTGCAAAGAGGTATTATCGGTCATGTGTACATGTGTAGCTTTATCTGTAAATGTGGTTTTGAGCTGGTTATTATCATGTAATATCCAATAAGGGTTTGTTTCCCTTCACTGTACAGTAGTAGAAATCTTAAAGCAGAAACCACTATCTGTGCAGGGATAGGAGGTAGTAGATCTTTAAATTTCAGCTTCCACCTCACCCTGTCGGTGTTTCCTGTCCCTCTGACTCCTGCAGCCTCCAGGCATTGTTTACATCTTGTGCCACAAGTTCTCCTTTTTTTTTTTTTTGCTGCATCTGCACAGTAGAGCCTCATATAAGT